ATAAGAGAAGAGAAGAGAAGAGAGGAGAGGAGAGGAGAGGAGAGGTAACGTGAGGCATCCGACCGGGGCAATCTTGATCCATGCTTCAAGGGTGAGCGAGTCCAGCTGGTATCGCGCTCTCGTCTCTGTCTGGTTGTAGGAGGAGACCATGACATGCGGACACTTCCTGCAGGAGGGGAGGCAGGAATCTTGAAAGAAAGTCAGAAGCAGCAACAGGGGGGGAGGGAGAGGGAAGGACGAGGAGGAGGAGGAGGAGGGGCAGGAAGTAACTGACCGCTGCAAGGGCGAGGCAAGGAGAGCATGTCTCCTCCTCGTCCGAAGGTATTGTCGATGATCAACGGAGGAGACCCGATGGTGCTCACCAGCCCCGTGAGAGGGTTGACTGCACCAACGCGAGCTGGTGAGTGTGTGAAGGAGGGAGGTGCGAGGAGGAGAAGGAGGAGATAGAGCGAGACATACAGCAGGCGGAGGCTAGGAGCATTAGGAAGCGAGATGCAGGAGCAGGAGAAAGAAGAGGAGGGAGGAGGAGGAGGAGGAGGAGGAGGAGGAGGAGGAGCAGCAGCAGCAGCAGCAGCAGCAGCAGCAGTAGCAGCAGCAGCAGCAGCAGCAGCAGCAGCAGCAGCAGCACGAGGCCTTGTGGCCTTCTGGTCACCTGAGTGAATGCTGACGGCATAGCGACCGAGGGTTTCGCTGACAAACATGCTCCCTCGCTGCTCTCTCGCGCTGACGTCTGCCGGAATGTCGTGGGGGTAGAAAAGCTCCGGGCCCCCGTTGACGGAATAGGAGAAGCGATAGCTGCCGGTACAGTGAGGAGGAGGAAGAGATGCAGAAGAGAGGAAGGGATGGAGAGAGGGAGGGAGGTGATGATAATGACCAAGGGCGGAGGGAGCGAGAGGAGGGAGGGAGGGCAGGGAGGGAGGGCAGGGAGAGGCTGCAGAGGAGCTCACAAGAGCGGGAGGATCGAGCCGGATGGAGCAAGCCACCGCAAGCTGATCTCAGTCACGTTGACGTAGCACGTCGACGCGTTGACAGGCAGCTCGACTGGGCTGACGCCGAGGATGCTGACGCCGAGGGGGTCGAACGAGCTGAGAAACATGCTGGAGACGGTGATGTTGTAGACCAGCTGGGGAGAGAGCCCCGTCAGCTGGCAGGCCTGCTGGGACCCCTGGGCCTGTCCAAGGGAGCAGGTCTGGTTGTACTGCTGAGGAAGGGAGGAGGAGACTCGGAGGAGGAGCTGAGAGCCAGCTGGAAGATCGACGTCACAGAGGAGAAGGACGGAGTTCTCGTGCATGGCCGCGATGGAGAGGTTGGAGGGTCTCGGGAGAGGAGCGACGCGCAGGAGGCGGTTCGGGTCAGACCTCAGCTCTAGCCCACTGCTCGTCAGGGACAGCAGCTCAAACTCGTAAAGGGAGGCGACGGTCAGGCCTGAGACGACGACCGAGCTGGAGGAGACGGCCAGGGGTCCGACCCGCTGCTCCACGGTCGAGTTGCGAACGAGGAGGACGAGGAGGGCAGGGATGGCAGCAGCAGGGAGGGAGGATGAGCTGTAAGGGTCCAGGCGGGGACTAGCCCAGCTGAGGACGACCTCTCCTCCCCGGACACTGGTGACGGCAAAGTCGGTCGGAGTTGCGATGGGGGTGACGCTCACGCTGGCGGAGGGAGGAGCCTCCCAGCCCGAGAGCGACCGGGCGCGGAGGAAGAAAGCGTACTTGACAGCTGGAGACAAGCTGGAGACGTTGAGCTGCTGGGGCTCTCCTGGTCCTCCGACATGAGCAGCGACGATCCTGTTGGTGACGAGAGTCTCGTCAATGGAAGAGGAGGAGGCGTTCATCGCGTAGTACTCCAGCACGTACTCCAGCACACGAGCCCCGCGAACTCCAGGCCGCCATGCGAGCAGCACGGATGAGCTGGTGACTCCGAGGACTGAAATGCTCGTGGGAACGTCCAGGGCGCTGGCCTGGAGGGTGGGGAGGAGGATGGCTGGGGAGAAGACCGCATCTCCCACCAGCACGCGGAGGTCGAAGAGGTAGAGGAGGTTGTTGCTCAGTCCTACTGCCGTTACCTCCTCCTCCCAGCTGCTCGTCTGGTTGCAGCCCAGCTGGAAGTCGTTGAGCTCCCCGTTGAGCATCAGGCTGGGGATCTGGTAGTAGAGCCGAGCTGAGAAGCAGGAGGAGTTTGCACCTTGTGGGTGCACCCGAGCCGCGAACGTGACGCTGTTCCAGGAGACGCGGGAGACGCGCCAGGAGGAGGGAGTCGGGGCTGCCGCACTCAGCAGGGCGTCATCTGAAGCTGTGATGCCTCCTGCCGGCTCGTAGAAGCCCGAGGTAGCTCTGGAGTGGATGGAGAAGAGGAGGAGGAAGTACGGCTGGAGGAGGGGGACGAAGGCGGACTGCAGCGAGTGTCTGGCTCCGTTGTGAAGGACGTCAGAGGAGTCGAAGTACTTGACGCCCATCCTGTTGCTCGCTGAGATCCTGTACGACGTTGGCTGCATCCCCTCTGCTGGCGGCCGCCAGTTCAGCGTCACCCCCAGCTGGGAGCCTGCTGAGGTCCCTCGCACCAGCGCCTGCGTGACAGGAGCGACGGGGGAGACGCAGGCGAGGAGGCTGCTGCCGACCTGCTCGAACCCCTTGAGATTCCCCGCGTACACGACGATGGCGATGGCTTGCTCGAGCTGGAGGCCCGTGATCGTCGCCTCCTCCCTCTCCGTCTCCAGTGGGTTGCCGAACTGACTTGCCGTCAGGCTGCCATTGCAGGGCAGCGGCTGCGATGCCCAGAGGACGCGAAACTTGGTGGGCCGGGGCCCGAGGGGGGAAGGAGACCATCGAAGAGAGACCTGGCTGGAGGAGGTGGCGGTGACGGCGGCGCTGACGAGAGGGAGCGGAAGGTCGGAGGCTGTGGCGTTGAGAAGGTCGCTGCCAAAAAGCTCGTAGGGGGTGGCGCCGGAGGTGCGGGAGAAGACCTTGAAGAAGTAGAGCTTGTCGGGCAGAAGCCCAGCTACCGTCTGGTGGGTCAGCGAAGTCTCCGGGGCAGCAGGACGAGAGTTGTCGAAGGTGGGGGAGCGCGAGAAGCGAATCTGCGGGGAAATGAGGAGAAGAGGAGGGGAGGAGGGGAGGAGAAGAGGAGGGGAAGAGAAGAGGAGGGGAGGAGAAGAGGAGGGGAGGAGAAGAGAAGGAGGAGGAGAAGAGGAGGGGAAGAGCGGAAGAGAAGGAGACGGAGAAGAGAACAAACAAGAGGAGCAGGAGGTGAATGAGTTCAGCAAGGGAAGGGAGGAGAACCTGGAAGACGTTGGCGGCAGGGTTGGGCGTCCAGGAGAAGGTAATGGAGTTTTGCGTGCCCGCCGTGATCTGAAAGTTCTGAGCAGCGGAGGGAAGAATTACTGTTCTCCCCTGATCCTCGAAGGCTGTCGCATCCCCAGCAAAGATGGTATAGGTGACTTGGAGGGGGTTGACGAAGACAAAGTTGTGCTGGTACCTGTCGGGAAGTGAGAGGAGATGAAACGAGAAGAAGACGGAGAGAGAGGAGGAGGAGGAGGAGGAGGAGGAGGAGACGAAGTGGAGGAAGATGAAGGAGACGAGAAGATGAGGAGGAGGAGAGAGGAGGGCAGTAGTCACGAGGCGGAGGGAGTGGAAGGTGGACAGGAGGAGAGGCACGAGGAGAGCTAGCTAGCTCACTGAGTCTTGTCGCCAGTGAGGAGGACGAAGGAGGGGTTCAGAGGCTGCGTTGCGCTCCACACGAGCTTGTAGGAGGAGGCGCCGGGGGACGGAGACCAGCTGAGAACGACAGAGTTCGGATTCAGCTGGGAGACGTTGAGATGACTGACGGCGCTGGGGAGGCTGAGAGTGCGGACGAGGCTGCTGTTGTCGCTCCATGCTCCCTGACCCGCCAGGTTCTGTGCCGCTACCTGCAGCTGGTACCAGGTTCCCCTCTTGAGCCCCGTCAGCTGGGCAGGGGAGCTCAGGAAGGTGGCGACCTGCTGGGCAGGGGAGAGGAAGAGAGCTGGGGTCGAGGAGCAGGCCGGAGAGGTGCCGCTGCCGCAGTCCCAGACGCGGACGAGGTAGCTGGAGACGGGGGAGTCAATGATGGGGCTGCTCCAAGAGAGCTGGAGGACGGAGTTCCTGTCTGGTGGGGAGGGGAGAGCAACGCCGATGACGGGCCGCGAGGGAACGTCGGCGATGAGGACGCTGACGACGTTGCTGGTGGTGGGGTCGAGGACAGTGTCGGGATAGAACCCGTCGACTCCGTCCTGCCCTCCCACGTGGACCCTGAAGTAGTAGCTCGTCCTCCTCCTCAGCTCCGAGATCCGATGCTGCACCGTCGAATTTTCCGTCACGATGATGTCGCGCGCGCCAGCCGCGCCGGGAGCTGGAGTCCAGCTGGAGTTGTCCTGACTGTAGGAGACGTAGTAGCGGGTCACCTGCGGCCAGCCGAGGGGTCGCGACCAGGAGAGGAGGGCGGAGGAGTTGGAGCGGTTGAGACTGAGACCGACGGAGAGGAGGAGGAGGTCGGTCACGGGGCGGGAGGGGAGGGCTATGGTGGAGCCGACCTGGACGTTGCTCCCTGCTGCTCGAAGCCGAAGTCGTTGCCGCAGAAGATCTTGAAGAGGAGGATGGTGGCGGGAGGGAGGCCGGTGAGAGTCACGCGGCACTCGATGCCGGCAGCGTTGGAGGTGTAGGAGTGCCGGGCAAGCTCGATGGGATAGACGCAGACGTCAATGCGGTCGAGGAGGAGGACGGCTCCTGTGCTGTCTCGGTACTCCAGGAGGCTCGCGGCGTCCTGCCCGACTGCGATCTTGAACTTGGATACGTAAGGGGGGGCGAGCGGGTTCAAGGTCCCTGGGATAGTCCAGGACAGGGTGACCTGAGAGAGGATGAGAAAGAGGAGAGGAAAGAGAGAAGAAGGGAGAGAGGAGGGGAGAGAAGACGGGAAGGGGGAGGCAGAGGAGGAGGCAGGAGGCAGGAGGCACGAGGCAGAGGCAGGAGGCAGGAGGCAGGAGGCAGGAGGCAGGAGCTCACTGAAGAGGAGGAGGAGGAGTCCGTCAAGTCTCCGATGGTCGCCCTCTCATCAGGAGGGATGTCAGTGAGCTTGAAGGCGAACGGCTGCGAGACTGCGCCGAGCTCCAGCACTCCTGCTGCTCGGGTGGCGACCCGCACCTCGTAGGAGCTGAGCGGATCGAGGCCAGTGAAGAGCGCTTGCCCGGGTACAGCTGGAGGAAGAGTCAGCTGAGCAATGATGAGTGGGTGAGGGAAGGAGAAGGATCGCGAGGAAAGCGGAGGAGGGGAAGCGGAGGAGATGGAAGAGGAAGAGGAGAGAGTGAAGGAGGAGGAGAGAGAAAGGGAGCAGGAAGTGGAGGAAGACGAGGAGCCAGGAGTGAGGTAGGACTTGAGGGGAGGAGGAGGGGAGGAGAGGAGGAGGAGAGGAGGAGGAGGAGGAGAGGAGGAGGAGAGGAGGAGAGGAGGAGGAGAGGAGGAGAGGAGGAGAGGAGGAGAGGAGGAGCAGCTGACATATGGAGACGTTCTTCTCAATGCTCGGCCAGGGAGCGTTGACGTAGAAGTCGCGCGAGGAGTGAGTCTCTCGCGCCTGCAACAGCGCAGAAGTGATGTTGCAGCTGCAGCCCATCGTCATGGTCAAGTGCCAAGGAGATGAACAAGGGATGAAGGAGCAGGAGCAGGAGCAGGAGCAGGAGCAGGAGCAGAAGGAAGGGAGAGAAACGAACGGAGAAGGATAGCTGTTCTACCTGACCGACCCTGTCTTGGTCTGGCACTGCCCGAGCTCGGTCCACTGCAGGAGGATGGAGGCTGCGGTAGTAGCAAATGACATGAGTTAGAGTAGGAGGAGCAGGAGCAGGAGCAGAAGCAGGCAGGGAACCTGAGAAGATCTTGGAGGAGGAGAGGCGGACGGGGGCTAGGGGGGGGCCATGGAGCTGAACGTTGAGGAGGAGAGCAGCCCTGGTCGAGTAGTTGAGGACCTCAAACCTGCCTGGCAAGTCAACGAGGCGGGGAGAAGACGACACGTCAGCTCCTCCCCAGCACGACCCCACCTGTCGCCCAGCTCGGGAGAGACGTCGAAGCTCGAGGAGAGGGTCACGGAGGAGGCTGCCTGGCTGACTGAGGTGACTTTCCTGACCTCTCCTCGCCCCTTCCCGGACGCCAGCCGGAGGAAGAGCCCAGCTGTCAGCGAGGAGACGCTGCTGAGATGAAGGACAGCTCCCGACACGCTGACGACGGTCTGCAGGGAGGAGGAGGGCAGAGACCCGATGGAGATGATGGCGACCCAGTTGGAGGAGGAAGAGGAGGAGAGCGGAGATCGACTGAGCAGCAGCCGACGCTCCTGCCCGTCGTAGGAGAGAACGAAGGGGTCGTAGAAGCCCATGGCATCGCCCCGGACGACGAGGAGGGAGAGGCCTGCGTAGGCTCCATGGACAGCGCTGGCGGAGGAGGAGAGGCAGAGAGACGAGGTGACGTTCACCTTGGCTGGGCACTGAGCGACGGAGAAGATGCCGAGGACTGAGATCGGGAGGGAGCTGGCGATGGTGCTGGCGGATACCTGGAGGTCGAGCTGCCCGCTGTCTGTCAGCTGCTCCAACACGACCTGGTCGCTCCTCCACGTCCCTCTGTCTGCCGTCGCGATGCTCTTCCTCCTGTCCGCTGCTGCCGGCTGCCACGAGCTGCCGGCCTGGAGCAGGAGGGAGGAGAAGGAGAAGAGCGTCTGCGAGTGATTCTGCGGGTCCAAGAGCCCTCCTGCCTCCCGGTAGCTCCACGAGACGGTAGCGCTCGTCCTGGTCTTGAGGAGGAGGGAATAGTTGAGCTCGGGCTGGAGGGCGAGGGAGTACAAAGGCGTCTCCTCTGACATCACCGAGTACTCCCCCCCGTCATGCGCGCTCCCTCCCAGCACCTGGAAGCTGAACCAAGCTCCTGCTCCTTCCAGGTACCTCCCCCACCCCTGCGGATCCAGGAACAACACTGCCTCCGGCTCCTGGAAGACCGCGTCCTCCAACTTGGGCTCAAGGTCCGGGAGGAAGCGGGCCAGAAGGGGAGGAGGGAACTGGTAGAGGAAGCTTTGGAGGAGGACGCTTTCGTTGTAGACGAGCACGCGCACCTTGTAGCGGTCGACGTGCTCCTTGGGCTGCCAGCCGATCCTGATGGCGGTAGAGGTGAAGGCAACGATGGCGACCCCTAGGATGGGACCCGAAGGCTTCGCCGTCATGGTGACAAGAACCTCATTGCTCCTGCTGCACGCCAGGGAGTCGCCGTCGATGAAGGGAGGAGAGAGGCCGGAGGACTGGAGCTGACACCGCGAGCAGATGGAGATCCTGTAGGAGAGGCCGAGCGACAGGCCCGAGACGTTGACGGAGTAGGTCGAAGGAAGGAGGGAGGAGACCAGAAGAGCGACGCGATGCCGGTCGCTGTAGGAGGAGGCGTTGGAGGAAAGGTCCACCTCGAACTCGACCCTCTCGCACATCCTCCCTCCTCCCCCCGCGTTCCAGCTCAGCTTCGCCCCGTCTTCGCCGAGGAGGTAGTCAAGGGCGAGCGAGGAGACCGGAGGAGGGCGGAGGACAGTGAAGCAGGACACCAGGTTGCTGCCCTCCTGCTCGAACGACAGCACGTTGAGGTTGCCTGCCCTCACTCTGAACGCGTACGTCTTCTCGCCTTCCAGGCCCCAACCGTGACCTCTAGGGAGACGTTGAGGAGGAGATGTGACGTCGCTGATCCGAGCACTGACTCCTCCTCGCTCAACAGGACGGCGAACTCCTCCTCCTGCCCCAGCCCGAAGCTCACGTTGGAGCTGATGCTGACCCGACAGTCCTCCTGTCCCGGCGAGGAGGAGGAGGAGCACTGGAGCAGAGTGCCAGTCAGGGATCTGCCGAGGTAGGGAGCAGATGTGAAGGATCGCCCGACATGCGAGGAGACGGGAGAGAGGAAGCGAGCGTGCGTCGCGTCCAGCATCAAGCCAGTCACTCGCGCGGCTACGAGTCGCGCAGGCTGCCAGGAGGACGAGGAGGAGACGCTGACGTCGGAAACTTCAACGAGGTAGGAGGAAGAGAGGCTGCCGCCAGCCCCTGTCCTGCTCCATGCTAGCTTTACCAACGAGTTTCCCGTCCCCTTGACCTTCAGGTCTGAGACAGGAGGAGGCAGCGGCCCGAGGATCAGCACCTCGCTCGCTTGCACAGGCTGCAAGGTGAAGCCTTCCTCCCCCAGCACAAGACCGTCTCCGTTGTCATCGTACAAGTTCCCAGCGTATGCTTGGATGCGATACCCCTCCTGCTGACTGAGAACGAACCCCTCCTGACTCAAGATCTCAGCCTCTCCCCAGCTCTCTCCGGATTGCGGATAAAACTTCTTCGCCTGTTGGAGATCAGCTGGGAAAGAGCCGTTGGGATAGAGCCGGCACGAGGCGTTGAGCGAAGAGACTTGACAGACCTGACGAGAAAACAGAATGAGCCAGGGAGAAGTAGAGGACGAGGACGAGGACGAGGACGAGGACGAGGACGAGGACGAGGACGAGGACGAGGACGAGGACGAGGACGAGGACGAGGACGAGGACGAGGACGAGGACGAGGACGAGGACGAGGATCAACCTCGACACATATATGCATGGGAGGACGATCGCTGTTGAGCTGGGAGAGGTTGAAATCGAATCGAAGCTGAAAGGAAGTTTCTGTCTTGCTCATGACCCGCAAGGTTGCGATGGAATGTGCCAAGGGAACACCAGCAGCTGTAAAGATGTGCAGATGCTTGCCAACTAGTCAAAGAGCACGTTAGACCTCACCAGCTTGAAGGAGAGAAGGTTGTAAGGAGTAGGAGGAGAATGATTGAGAGAGGGAAAGCGAAAGAGAAGTATGAGGAGGAGCTGGGAAACAGGGGTTTGATCAGGTGTGCGTTACTTTTCTCGAAAGGTCCAGCTCTGTCAACAGCTGCAAATACAGCAACGGTGAAGTATCTGCCGTTCAAGAGCCACGGGATGCTGGACGTGTCGAGACTGCAGACAAGTGAGGGAGGGCGAGAGGAAGAGGAGGAAGAGCAGGAGCAGGAGCAGGAGCAGGAGGTGAGAGGAGGAGGAAGAGCAGGAGGAGGAGGAGGAGGACTCACGTGTAGGAGGAGCCGCCAGGTCCAACGACCGAGACCAGATGATATGCTGATAACGAGATGATTTAGGTGCTTCCTCCCCTCCCCTCCCCTCCCCCTCCTCCTCCTCGCGCCTACCCGACGGGTTGGACGCATTGGCGCTGGAGAGGTTCGCGACGGAGACAGAGAAGAAGTTGGACATGTCGGACTTGCTCCAGGAGACCTCCACCTTGTTGTTCTGCGTGCGGACAGGCAGCAGGGAGTTGACGGGGGCTGGAATGACGAACTGACAGCGAGAGCAAGTCAGAGGTCGAGTGACGTCAGCAGGAGCAGAACGGGAGGAGCAACAAGCAGGCAGAGGAAGCAGCAGAGACCTGAAGGGAAGCTGAAGAAACTCCTGCCACGTTCATTCCGAAAGCAGCGAACGAGTGGCCGACGCGGTGCGAGAGCGCTCCTACCTCGCAGACGCGGACGATGACGTAGGACTGCCCGCCCGCCTCCGAGGAGGAGAAGGGAGGGTCGACAACGACGACCTGGCAGAGGGGAGGAGAGTCAGAGAAGGCAGACCTCGTCGTCCTCTCACCCGCTCTGAGCTGTAGGAGATGATTCTCCTCGACTCCCCTCCCATCATCATCAAGTCTCCCACATACGCTCCGTCCTGCTCCGCCGCCCCTCCATCGAGCTGAACCTTATTGGACGAGATCGTCTGTGAAACACTCCTCAGCCTCCTCCCTCCCCATCGCTATCGCACCTTCACTGCCACCCCCTCGTGCCGAGTGCTTGTCGGGGCGCAGACCCGTCCGCCATGATCCATGTGGACGATCCGATGACGCGAGAGAAGAGGAGGATGTGAGTGAGAGGACGGAGACTGTCTGCCGGCGGTGGGAGGAAGGAGAAAAAGTCTGCGCCCTCTGACTGATCCACCAGCTGCACCCCACCTGACAAGGAGGTCACGATGACCTCGAGGAGGCAACAGACCTGGAGGAGAAGGAGGAGCGACAGGCTGGAAGTTGAAGGAGCGGAGAGAGCTCCACTCGAGGTTGGAGTTGCCGGATCGGATAGCGAACTGATACAAACTGGGACGAGCAGGGTATCGTGAGGAGGACAAAAATGCGGGTTTAGAGAAGAGGGAGAAACAGCACGAGGAGAGGAGAAGGGAGGAGAGGGGAGGGGAGGAGGGGAGTGGGAGGAGAGGAGAGCAACTCGTGAGTGAGCGCGAGCAGGCAGTAAGCACTACCGAGTGCGGTTGATCCCTCGAACTTCGTAGCAGAGGAAGGAGTTTCCGAGCTGCATGGAGCGAGGAGCCGTGAAGGATGCCTTCGCCTCCTGCAGGTTGAGGGGAGTAGGGAGACCCGCACATCCTCCCTCGGACGACCCGTTGGCTCCTAAGACGCTTACCGTTGTCCATGTCTATCGCCAACAATCAGAGGATAGGATGGGGGAAGAAGCAGAGGATTGTGAAAGCTAAGGAGATGGAGGTGGAGGAGGATGGGAAATTATCGGAATGAGGTTCGGAGCTGACTTTAGTATCCAGCGCGGCGACATCTTCTTGTAAAGATGAACTTCTCATGAGAATCTTGACAGAGCTGTTAGAATTCTGCCTCCTCCTCCTCCTCCTCCTCCTCCTCTTTCTCCTCCTCTTTCTCCTCCTCTTTCTCCTCCTCTTTCTCCTCCTCCTCTTTCTCTCCTCCCCCTCACCTCGTATCTGCTTGCATCCTCCACGTATCGCCACCCGAGGAGAAGCTTGGAGGACGAGAAAGAGGACGCGAAGCGACAAATGAGGACCTGCAGGGAGGTCAGACTTTGAGCTGATCCTGCGCTGACAGGAAGCACGTGAAGCTGCTGGGCGCCTCCCGCGGACACATCTCGATCCACTTCCACCGTCTGATCAGACGCGTTGAAGGAGACGATCATGGGAGCTGGGGACGTGATGTCGTCGAGCAGGAAGACCACGGCGCCAAGACAAGCCCCGTTACACGGCAGCTCTGACGTTTGCCATGTCAGAGGATATGAGGAAGGGAGGGAGGAACTCACGAGGAACCCGTAGCCGTCGAGCTGACAGCAGGGTTGCTGCTCCTGTGTACAAGCTCCTCCTCCAAGAGGGATGAACCTGCAGGGCATCCGGAGGGATCGGAGGAGGGACCGGGCGTGCCTGGCGAGAAGCTTCAGCATGCAGCGCGACACGAGGAAGCGACCTGAACGATCTCACTGGGCCCTGTGAAGCCTTTGTAGGTCGAGGTCGCGATGTGCTCGTTGTAGGCGGTGATGCGGAAGTTGTAGAGCTGAGAGGAGGAAGGGAGAGGGACAGTTACTCTGCTAGTCACGATCTTCATGTCCTCTCCCACTCCCCAGAAGCTCCAGGGGTCCTCAGGCTCGTAGGCCTCCTGCCTCCTCCATCAGGGTCGGACCGCAGCATCAGCAAGTTGGTTCACCGCTGCTCGCTGCAGTTGGAGCTTGTAGTACGAGGCACCGGGAACGGGGTCCCACTCCAGGTAGACCTAGAATCATCGGTCATGCTCGCTCCATCTCCACCACCCCCCCCCCCCCCCCCCCGCCTGCTCCTCGCTCTCTTTGACCTCCTGCTCCTCGCTCTACCTCTACCTCCTGCTCCTCGCTCTACCTCTACCTCCTGCTCCTTCATACCTGGCTGTCCCTCACAGCGACAACTCGCAGGCCTGTTGGGCTCTGAGTGAGGAAAGGCTGAGGGCTCCCGGTGACGACGTTGCTGGTCTGCTGGTCTCCGAGGGACGAGGCCTTGTCGGAGCCAGAGAACTCTAGAGCTCCTTGAGCGTTGACGTACTCGTTGGCCACGGAGACTCGGAACTGATACTTCTTCCCTGAAGAAAACAAGTGCTCGTAAAATGGTCGGGTAGCAGGAGAGAAAGCCTACCGGTATCGAGCTGCGTCACCTTGGCTGTGGTAGTCGAGGTGATCAGGCAGCTGCTGGACCATGGCAGAGGTTGGCTGGAGTAGCTCCTGTACTGCACGCAATACGACGAGGCCTGCTCCAACGCCTTCCATGCGAGATACACCGTTGTCTCCTCTACCCCGATGATGACAAGGTCTCTTGTCGATGTCCACAGGGCAGGCCTCGGGCGGATCCTCAGTGGTTCAATCTGACCCTGCACGTACCCGAACTTGTTGAGGTTCCTTGCAAGGATGTACACGTCATAAAAGAATCCCTCCTTGAGCCCTGTGAAGCTTATCGTTCGGGTTGAAACCTCAACCACCTGACTCGTAACAGGATCTTTGTAGTCTTGGTATGCCCCACACAAGTCGAGGGCCTGTTTCTTGTAGCAGCTTCTTATGCTCGCCTTGAATGTGCTAGCAGCATCTGATTCTGAGGGAAGGAACCAAGCAATGGTCACTGACGTTTCTGTATAACTTGTTTCATGCAACAGAGTGGGCGCGAGAGGAGGATTGACGGGGGTGACGCTGTTGAGAGTGGTGAGGTCGTTCCAAGAACTTCCTGTCTTTGCAGAGATTTGTACTTGGTATGTATGATGAAGAGACAAGGAGGACAAGAGAAGAAAATTCGACATGAACTCAGCACCAGGGCCGACGCTTGTCCATGTAGTTTGACCTTGCTCGCGGTAGCTTGCTTTGAATCGTTCTGCTGCCGCATCCCATGCGATGTAGGCCGATGAGTCTGTCACATAGACAACCATGGGGTCACTCCCCTCCCCTTCCCCCACCATCGTCGCCGCCACCATCAGCAGCCCTACCCACCTCGCAGCCATATTCTCCCCTCTATCCCACGCACCCACGCACCCACCCCTCGCTCCTCTCAGTCATGTCCCACCCACCTCCTACCCGGAGGCTACATGAATTGGATCACCCGGTGACGGTAGTACCCCCTGAGGGCCTCTCAGTCCGAGTGACCGACTGGCTGCTATTGTAGCAACCGGATCTTCATAGTGAGGACAGAGAAACTCGATCACACCACACGGCCTCTGCTAGTGGCCATGCAGCCTGAAGGCTGCACTACCCTACCCTCGGTATCATACTAGGAATAGAAGGCGAAAGGACTACCCACCGGTACTATGCAAACACTGATATCCACCCCCACCCCCTCTTGCAAGACTTTGACAAGCCCGTCAGTTGAATGAGCCGAGCACCCAGAAATACTGAGGCGGGCTTGAGTATACAGCCGCATCATGCAGAGAGCACAACACCGTCATGGCGCAAGATGAGGGGAGGAGAGAAGGCGCCGAAGAGTATGAAAGACAAGACAGCAACAGCCGTGTCTTCTTTCTTGCTCATGTCGACGTTGATACTTGCTTGCTGTTCCCTTGACTTGGTTCTCGGGTGCGATCCCCTGGATGGAAGTCCCGGGAAAAGCAACTCTTGGTCCGTCCCGTCGCTCCTGCATCTTCGAGGAGGAGGACCTGATTCCTCACCAAGGATCTCGTTGGTATGCAGTGCTCTACCTCTGAATGTCCTCGGAGTGCTGCTGACTTGAGCGTCCATGCAAGATCGACGTGACATACTGCACGGGGTGCGGGTTACCTGGTGAGTATTGCCGGTTGGTCAAGTGCAAGGAGGCGAATGCGCAAACTCTGCCCACGAGCAGGTTCAGTTGATCTCCTTTGATGACTCTGCTGGTTGTTGATGTTCGCATGCCCAGCAAAGAGGAGGCCAACAGTTCAGAGAGGAACCCATCAACCGTCGCTCAAGGTGCTGTAACTGCTGCTCGAAACTTTCCACCTCCTAATGAATCATGGCAGCGAAACCTCCCACCGACCGAGATCCAACTCAAAAAGCTGCTCCTTTGGTCAAGATTAAAGTCTCAAACAGACGGAAAAACAAGTTTGTAACACTGGTGAGCGGCCTGGAGGGGGCACTGCCTACAGCAACTACCCTTAAGGTGGAGAGTTGGTTGTCCTTGTTACAAACTCATGCTTCATCTGAAGGATGTCTGCAAAACAATATCCAACAAATTTGCGGTCGGAGCATCAGTCGTGAAATCAGAAGATGGTAAGCTAGACTCTGAAGTTTTCAACTTGACCCTGACTCAGGAAAATCCGATGTAATTAGCGTTCAAGGTGATGTTTCTGATAAGGTATTATGCTTTTTCAATCGCACATTTGCATTACGTGACCCCCTGCTCCTTTAGCTGAGAGAACTGATCTCAAGCAAATTCAAAATATCCCTGGAACAAATCAGACTTATCGAGTGAAGGAATTTTCTCGTCGACTGAGCACTGTTGATGCCAAGACGAAAGCAGGTCTACAGTAGGCATGATGATGTTGGCAAGTTGTTACAACGCCCAAACAATCATGCACGAGTAACATTTAGCTCAAATTTGTTCTTGAATAATCTTACTTTCAAAAGAATAGAAAAGCTAGCTTACATTCAGAACGATTTGATTGGACCCGGAACCGCAAGGGCATCTTGAATGTTAGTAGAGGGAAGAGAAACTAAGATTTCATGAGAGGTGGAAGAATTCGATGATGCGATGATGAAAGCATTCTAGCCTTATTTCTGCGCATATTCCAACATCTTGACCTTCAGATCATCCCTAGGCGATCCCGAGTTTGATTTGAGGTACCATCCCACCGCATAACCGATGCCAAAGCATGGCACGGCAGTCCCCAGAACCAAAAGCAGGATCACTTGCTTCCAGTCATAAATTGCATAAGCGTCCACTTTCTGTACAACTGAACTCAGATATTGTTGTTTGTAAAGCCTGAGAATAAAAAGTAAATGATAAAATGGCACAACAATGGTCAAAACAGGCACCTTTCTGCAGTTTGTGCAAAATTGATTTTCCCCCCGTTGAGTCTACCTTGGCTGATAGCATGAGTCGCCAGGTAAGCATCGATTTGCATGTCGATTGGCAATGCTCTTTCGAGCAATTCTTGAGCGGCACCATAATTGATGATGTACGATGATGTCCCGTACCAAAGATGACATGCTAACTCCTTGATATACTTGCTCTCGGGAAAATCAATAGGATCATATTTGCATCCAAAATCCTGGAAAAGGGACATGTCAACGCACAAAATGTGGAGAACATTCTCCTACCTTGACTCCGAAAGCATCCAGAGTCAGAAAAATTCTTTCACCCGCGAACCAGCTCTGATTCCCACTTGCAACACGAATCTTGTCTAGTTGTTTCAGCGTTTCCACACTGCCTGATTGTATTGCTGCATCCTCCTGATCAAAAAGTTAATTCCAACCCAACATTCGCAGGATACTCCCACTTCAAAAATGACGACTGTTTCCCCAGGTCTTATTTTCTTCCAAAGCTCTACATGATTGATATACAGTGCTACCGCATTCCATGAAGGAAGTTCCTGAATACATTTGCATTAGAATTCAAAAATCGGGAAACGAATTCGGTTTACTTTGCCACTTTCCCTCCCGAACTGCAAGCTTTGCTTCGCTCTCGGTGTGAGATATTTGGAAAGATTTTGACTTCCACGCAGCCCCATATATCTTTCTGTACGAACGCTTGGCCACAAATCAGGAGTTTCTTTCGCCGCATTCACAGTGATCCAAAAAGCTCTTGAAACATTCAATAGCAGGTGAGGATCAGCTATCTCTGGCCTTGGAATGAAGGTTGCTGGAGTCGCCAAATGTGCTAGACTTGAAAACAGGACGGCAAATAAAGCGCTTCGTTTTCTTCTCATCATTGTGCGCGAAAATCCCTTCTGCCCACGTCTGAGTGAGAGCCCAGCGATGTACAGCGTACTCAACGAAGGTCAGCAGATTCGTCCTAGCGCGCTAGACGCAAGAGCAAGGCTGGGTCAACGTGAGAGGATATGAATGTTTGAGGGGATGTGTTGGTCAGGAGATGAAAGAGAAGGGTGGGGGAGGGATGGTAAAGCTACAATGAGAGCAGGACGGACGGGGTAGGCGGAGGGGCAAGCACAGCAAGAAGGAGCGAGGGGAGGGGTGCAGTAGAGATTCCCATGGAAGCTTGCGAAAGAGGGGGTGGGGTGATCAAGTCGATTCAAATTTATTATGGGTAGGGTTGGGTAACTTTGGGTTGGGGGTAGGGGTCCATATGTACCTGGGTCCAGTCAGGTATAGCATAAGCATGAGAGCTACTGGGTGGGGGTGATGAGACTGATTCATGAAAAAGGGGTACCATTTTGCTCTAGCAGACATGGGTAGGGTTGACACAATGGGGCTTGGGTACACACTATTAGCGTCGGTTGGGGTGGTGGGGTGTAGTACCCCCGATTTAGGGAGACAGGGGTCCTTAGTGGAGAAGGACTGGGTGTAGACAATCATTGGAATGGAAGGGGGTGCCAGAGCGTATGGGGGTCCTTGCCTGAGGGTGAAGGAATGAAACCTGCCTGAGGCATTAGTGGAGACATAGAGAAATCAACGACCCTGAAGGGGGGGACAAGGAGTTTGTGCAGATATCACTAATGTCGAAGGACACAACAATAATCAGAAGGGTAGGGTACTTCATGAGTAAGAGGTGGGTGGGACTTCTAGTCATATGTGCTGCAATGTCTCAATTAGTGAGTTTAGGGGGGTGGTGTAGAGAGATAGGGGTGAGTAAAGTAGAGTGGGTGGGTCGCTGAGCAGTTTTGACGGACTGAAATAAAGGGTGGGGTTGGTCTAAACAATGGGGTAGGGGTGTGTTTCGTTGGGGTAGGGTACAGGCCTGGTCCGTTTGAACGCACATGCCGTGCAGTGCGGTAGGGTGATTTTAAGACATGGAGGGTAGTGATTGCTCGAGGAACGATGTCTTGAGATCAATGGGCCTACTGCAAGGATTCTTTAATTGAGCTTCAATGCATTAGTACTATGTGTGGATATTACACTTCCGCAGAAAGGATCCGGAATGGTAGGGGTGGGGGAGAGTCTTCAATAGTAGTGACCCTAATCTCGCTATGTGGGGATGTACCAGGAGCACCCGGCGTTTTCCTCACATTTCGAATACAATTTAGGGTAGGGTATCTTTTTTTTTCATCGAAAGGACCTCCTCTCTAACGGGTAGCAGAGAGGGACGAAGGGTGGGGTGAAGATACACCCAGGGGTACATAGATAGATAGGGGTGGTCAATGGAGCTGAGATGGTAGGGGTACTTGTCCTATGAGGGGTGGGGTTGGCAGGAAGTTTTCCGTTACCAACGGACCGGTGGGGATGGTCCTTGTGGTGGGGATAAAGCACGAGGTGGATAGGGGTGCATTGAGAGAGGGGGGGTGGTCTCGAATCTTCACAATTGAACGCAGAGGCGGTTCCTAGGTGGGGGGGGGGGGGGGGGGGGGGGGGGTTGGAGGGGGGTTTCGGCGAAACGAGTCAGGGAAAAAGTACGGGTAGTGATGAGTACAGAGCAGCCTGTGAGTGTATGTGGGGTGGGGTTAGTGAGGCATTTGAAAAAACAAAACATACAAGGGGGTTAAATGAAACGAGGAGATAGGGGTAACTTTCAGATTTGGGTAGGGTGGTTCGTATAAATGTAATCACCGGTCAGATTAACTACAAATTAAGGGGTAGGCGAGGAAAGGACCCAGGTGGTGATGTTGCAGAGGTAGAGGGGGGTGTGCAAGAAATGGGACCGGGTGAAACATGATAAGAAAGGGGTAACTTTGAAGTGGGGGTCCAGATACTGAAGATGGTGGGGGTTCATGGGTAGGGTGGGGGGACGTGGCTGGCTCGGGCTGTTCTGCAGGTGTAGCTGAGGATGGTTTGGTGATTACCGGTACAAATGAGCTTGCCTCAGTGTTTCAAGTGAGGGTGGGGTCATCCTCAACAGGTTCAGAAGCAAAACAGACACACAAAAAAATAAATTATTGTCAGAGGAAGGGGGTAGGGTGGTTAAATTTCCGGTGGGTGCAAAAACAAGAAGAAGCGTATTTCAGTACCCCTGTCCCCCAGAAAAAAGAACCCCAGAGAACACGAGTATGAAGTGCCCATCTATCTTGACTACCCACAGTAAAGATACCAAAAGAGGGGGTCTGATTCGAAACGTTCTTATCTGCATGTCTTTGTGGGGGGCTGTGATCGAGGGAATTACGGCCCCACTATGTGATCGAAAAGAAGTTATTTCAACCCGGTCACGGACAAATTGTGCGTCTATTTATGTGGTCAATGCATCCATATATGCAAGTGTATCGGTGGGGCGCCCGGCCCGTGCCGGACTAAGTTTCCGGGCGCTCGGAAAGCTCCGGCCCGGGCCGCCGGGGCCCCGGGGCCCCGGGGCGGCGGCCCGGCCGAGCCGCTGAGCGTTTCCTGGGCCTGGCCCTTCAAGCCTAGTGGAACGACTTGACAGAGTACCCGGTAAGGCAAGCCTTGTTAGACTTGTACGGCGCGGCGCACAGCGGCACGGCGCGGGGGACTCGCCGGGCGCCGCTCCGAGCCTCCGAGGCTCGCCGCCGCATGCCCGGCCGCGCCGGGCGGCGGGCCGCGCGTCTCAGTCTCACCGTCGGTCACCGGCGGTAGGCCTAGCCTAGTAGTCACGGCCGTCGGGCACCACTGGCAAGTCCGCCCCAGCCTAAAATAAAGGAACTTCAGCTAGATTGTCATATTGATTGACATGCTATTTCATGATCTATCTATGTGTGCTGCCTCTTCTATTTACAATGTGTTTCTTTGAGGCGGACTTGATTGATTTGCCCCCCTTTTCTTTCCCATTTGAGCTCCATGGAGCCAGGAGCTGGGTAGCTCCGAGCGGCGAGGGAGGAAGGGAAGGGAGTGGGGGGGAGGGGCAAGAGGCAGTGAAGAAGAGAAGGCGAGAGAGGCGGGAGTGCCGACATCAAGGCATACTGGAATACAGCTTCTCAGAATGCTACCCAGCAGAACAGTGTTGTTAACTGTCCTTCATGTTTCCGCCCTCGCAACTGTGGGAAGCTTCAGCTGCCAGAGCCAGGTGTTGGGTAGAAGATGGATGCTTCCATCCACGAGATCACTGCTGTCTCCATACCATTACAGCCATCGGTTTTGCAGAAAGAGCTTCATCGCTCCATTTCCGTGCTCGGACTCGCAACAAAGGATTTCTGTCCGAGCTGGATCGCGTGATATAGATGCTGTCAAGGAGGGGGTTTCTTTCTTTCCGTTGCCAGATATCGTGAGAAACAAAGTCGACATAGAGCAGGCGATTGCAAGAGAGGACTACCAGCAGGCAGCGCGGCTGCGAGATGAGAACCAGAAGATGGTGAGCGGGGACGACTTCACTCGTTTACAGCAGGAACTCTCCGAAGCTCTCCTGGTCGAGGACTACAAGAGAGCCGCGCAACTGCAGCAAGAGCTGCTGGAGAGCCTGAGAGCTCGCTCTTCCAACCCGGTGAAGCTTGACAGGATCGCCTGCCTTACTAGGGAGGGTCAGATCTTCGTCGTCAGCCCCGATGGAGCTGAGCGAGTCTCCCTCGCTGACTCCTCCGACTCCAAGACGCGATACACCATGCCCGTCTGGTCGCCGTCTGGTGACATGGTAACGTGAGAGGCAGCGCCGCCTCGTCTGACTTGCCCCGGCAGGTCGCCAGTATCGCCTTCACGGGCACTGCGTTAAACAGCAAAGTTGACTCGAAGCAAACGCTGACAGTGTTTCAGTCCCGGGACGGCAACTCGTGCTTTGCTCTCTCGCTCAGCTTCTCGCCATACTGCCTGCAGTGGTCCAAGACAGGGACCAACATCTGCTACATCACGAGAACACACCGCAAGCAGTCTGAGATTGTGTCTGTCGACATCTTCCCTCGGCCAAGAGAGAAGGAGCTGACTCGAGCGAAGGCGAGCGGAGATCGAATGAAGCGATCGAGCGACAACATGATGCAGCGAAGCCTCTGCGACGGGGAGCTGCTCTTCTTCTCCCATCAGCTGTTTCCAGCTGAGTTCCCCAGCGACGTCTTGGTTCACTCCGGCATCGACCGACAAGTCTTCCTCCTCCCTACGGACCCGCAGCTGCCCCGGGATCCTCTTGTCCTCTCCAACAACAGCGGCTTGTTCGGGACTCCTCAGTTTCACCCACTCAGCGACCTCGTGCTGTTCGCCGAGGAAGTAGCTCCCCTGTCACAGCCTCCACGTGCCAAGGGGAGCGAGGAGGAGGAGGAGGGTAAGAACAGGCTCATTTCGCAGTCATTTCCCCGTCCAGTCGCGCGCGACTCTTTCGGGGTAGTGGGGCAGCTGAACTCTGCGTGGCAGAGGATGCAGAGTGCGGGGCAGCAGCAGCTGGTGTTAGCGAGCAGGAGAGGAAGAAGGAAAGTGCTGGAGAGGCTGGATGCAAGCAGCTCGTCCTTCTCCTTCTCCCCTGACGGCAACTCGCTCGCCATCCTCGAGCGATCTGCGGGGAAGGAGAAGCTCTCCGTCCTCAAGTTTGTGTGGGCTGGCGACCTCGAGGAGACTCGGTGCGAGGATGAGGTGGTGATCAGCAGGGTAGACGAGGACGGAGAGCAGCGGCGAGAGGCGGCGGGCAGGAGGAGAGGGGCTGATGGTGAGGAGGAGGATGAATTCGACGGGGAGCAGGAGCGAGTGATCGCCTTCTTTTGGTCACCCGACAGGTGAGAGGTGAAAGCGCCTCCTCGCGTTCCTCTGACTGCCAGCAGCTCCAAGTTACTCTACCTGACCGCGAGAGCTTCTGATGTCAAGCTCTATCACAAGATGCAAGGTCCTCCCACTCTCCTCCTCCTGTCACTCCTCCAAGTCCTCATCATCCTCCTCCTACTGCTACTCAGAATTGCCTCACTTGTTGCCATGCCGCGCTCTCGCTCTCTCCCTCAACTTCACGTCGCGCCTTCTCTTCTTCGATGGGGCTTCTTCTCTTCTTACCCTTCCTTGCCCCTTTCGCTTTCTTTTCCTCCTGCTCCTCTCATCCTGCCTTGGTCTCTTGTCCTGCAGGGATGGCTCTGCGATGTCGATGGAACGTCTTCAGCATCGGTTCGACTTCCTCCCTCCTCCCTTCTCCTCCTCACGTTGGGCTGCAGCCGATGGCGTTTGCAGGACGTTTCCTGCCTTCTCCCCCAGCACTCTCTTCCTTGATGAAGTCTTCCCCAAGTTCGATCTCTTCGCCAAGTCGGTATCAAGGCACTCTTTCTCCTGTGCTGATTTCCCTTCAGCTCCTTCTCCCTCTGGTCTCCTGACTCCAATGCCTTCTGCTACGCGGGGAGGATGAGGTGAGTTCGACCTGATACTCCCGTGTGCCTCCTCTCCTCGCTACTCCTCTCCTCGCTACTCCTCTCTTCTCTCTTCGTCACTGCTTGGCAGTATCCTCACTTCTCCTGGCATCGCGGAGGTTCATGAGGGGGCCTGGGTGCAGGTGAGAAGGGCGAGGGGGAGGAAGGAGGGGGGAGGAGAAGGAAGGGGATGCTAAGGAATTGTTGATGCAGGACTTGGAGAAGACGGTTCCTGTGCTCATCCATCCGACAGCCACCTTCGCAGCCTGGTCTCCATGCTAGGAGGAGAACGAAACTTTAACTTGACACTACATACAAGAGGAGAACCCGCAACTTGTTTAGATCCCAAGCCCGGAAGAGAAGCTCTTCCTACCTGCAAGAAGAAAAAAGTGTAAGAAGAGAAGAGAGGAGATGAAGAAGGAAAGGGAAGAAGAGCGAAGGATGGAGGATTGATTAGGAGAGGTGTCGATAGGAACAAGGCTCAACTCACCGATATAGTACTTGGTCCACAGAAATTTGCTCAAAGCATGAAGTTGCCCGGTTACCACATACATGCCTCCTGGACTTGACTCACACTCGACACCCTTCTCCTCCTCCTCTTTCACCAGTGATAGCGCAGAGCTGAGTAGCGTAGTGAGAGAAGGATTGTTTCCACTGCTTCACTCGCACCATGATCGGAGAGATGTCTGATAACAAGACGTTATTCCCTCCTCCTCCTCCTCCTCCTCCTCCTCCTCCTCCTCTAACACCACTACAACCACCACCACCACCTCCTCCTCCTCCTCCTACCATAAATGAAGTAGACAGCAGGAAAGCCATCCTGCAACTTGCGGAAGTGGTCGGTAACCTGTGTGGGGTGTGAGAAGAGGAGAAAGGAGAGGGAAGAGGAGGAGGATAGAGAGACGCGAAGAACAAGGGAGGAGGAGGGTGACTGACCGAGTACTGGTTGGTGTCGATGATTGTTCCGTCAAGGTGATGGAACTTGGTAGGAACGATCTTGATGTAGTACTCGAAGGTACCCGACCCCTGGTCCAGCACCTTCATCTCCCCGTCCAGGGGGTTCTTCAGCCCCGGGTAGTCGCGCCCGAAGGAGAGGTGGTTCACGATGTGCGACGTGTTGACCGTCGCGCGGTCGGGAAACACCTGGGCGAGCACGTGGAAATCCTGCGCGTGGAGGCTCAAGTGGAAGTTGCCAGACACCTTCTGGGCGTTGAGGGTGCCGTAAATGTTGCATCCCTCGTGCCGCTCCAGCTGCTCCTTGATGTGGGAGATTGACAGCGCGTCTCGCGCAAGCTTCACCTTCTCTGATATCACCGGCCCCAACGCGTTCCCCTTGCTGTCCATCGCTCTCTTGTATACGTCGTGCACTATGTCAAGCTCGTGCTCCCCTGACACGTCCATGGAGTCGAGCGAGAGAACAGAGCAGGGGAGGCCCGGGAAGGAGATGTCGAAGTTGATCTGAAGCATCCCTCCCCGCATGGTGTCTACTTCCATCTCGAACTTGGTGTTGGTCTTGAGGAAGATCGAAGTCTCGGTGAAGAGCAGGAGGAACATGAAGAAGAGAACGACAACAGACACGGTCCCTCCTGACACCGATGCCTCCTTGGCATCGTCAACAGTCTTGGGGAAGACGTCGAAGTTCTTTAGCCACTCGAGCTGCTTCAGTGCAGCGTCTCCATCCAAGCTCATCGTGAGACTGTCAACCGCTACAAGATGTCGGAGATCAGATCTATCAGGGAGAACCTTCCGTCAGACCCTATCACATGCGTTCAGCCTCCCTTCCAGACTTGCAGCAGTGCACAGATGAAGGAGAAGCTGCTGGACTGTGCCAGGAGGAGGAGGAGGAGGAGGAGGAGGAGGAGGAGGAGGAGGAGGGAATGAGCTACAGAGTGACTAGATCGCAGGTAAATTCAAAATTCCCCGCAAGAGGGAAACGAACTAGCAGGAGAAAAAATAGCAGGATATCACACAGGGAGCAGGAAGGACAATGGGGAAGAGCGGCAAAGGTTTGAGGAGAAAGAGAGGGCTATGATTAGATACGAGATGATTAGATATGAGATGATTAGATATGAGATTATTAGATATGAGATGATTAGATATGAGATGATTAGATATGAGATGATTAGATATGAGATGATTAGATATGAGATGATTAGATATGAGATGATTAGATATGAGATGATTAGATATGAGATGATTAGATATGAGATGATTAGATATGAGATGATTAGATATGAGATGATTAGATATGAGATGATTAGATATGAGATGATTAGATATGAGATGATTAGATATGAGATGATTAGATATGAGATGATTAGATATGAGATGATTAGATATGAGATGATTAGATATGAGATGATTAGATATGAGATGATTAGATATGAGATGTGCTGTAGGAGGAGAGACGAAGAAACGAGCACGAGGGAGAAAGCAAGGAAGAAATCAGAAGGGAGAGAGAACAATATCAAAAGCATTGAAGTTCGGGGTTAAAGAAGATATCAGGGCAACAAGACCACGAAGAAGAACAGCAACATGTGCCCATCTCAAGCACAGCAACAGCAGCATGCTCATCTGGATCAAGATCGCAAGTCCATGGAGCCGGGGGAGCCGGGGAAGGACAACGGCGGATGGTTACCATTGAGCGGCTCTGACGTGTTTCCGTTACGTCCAGAAAAACAACCGTTACGATTTCAATTCCCGGCCCGGCCGGTCAACTCAGTGACTTCCGATCAATGACCGTGGACCGCCGGTACAGTGACGGCGGGCCGGGCCGGTGACTCAGTGACGGTGCCGTGAGCCGCGCGGCACTGCATGGCGCTGGTGGTGGCCGGGCCATGGTACTGCGGCATGTGGCGCTGGTGGTGGCCGGGCCATGGCATGTGGCGCTGGTGGTGGGCCATGCGGCATGTAACGCACAGCCGCAGGAGTGGAGGCTCGGGGACCCAGCCAGGGGGGCGCTGGTCATGACTCTCAGGGCACTAGTAACTTGACGTGAGGACCGGGAGAAGTAAACAGCGTCACTCCGAGAGTGACGGTTACATCCAAGTCGTGGAGCCGTCTGAGATCAGTATGATGGATCGCTTGTATCATCGTGAAGTGCCCTCTACCCTCCCTCCAGCAACTCCTCTCTCTCACGGTATCCCTCCAATCACCTGCCTATCAAAACGTTGCTCCCCGATCCCACCAAAGTCATGGAGCTGTAGAGGAATAGCTGCACCTCCTTGTCTCTGTGGTCCTCAAGGCAAACTTCAAGTTCAAGTGCGGCTCCAAGAGAACCGAGTGTGATAGGAGGGCTGCGGCCATGCAGGTCAGTGACCGTCTCTTCGCGAGGCCGAGGAGTGAATGACTGACATCTTCAACGTCCTCGTGACTAGAAACCCTCACGAATGGCTCGAGTCCATGCCTCGCCATCCCTTCTGCGCGGAGCTCCATCGAGGCGTCGACATGCCAACCTTGCTTGCGCGCGAATGGATCACATTCAGCAAGCAGAAGAGATTCTTGACCATTCGAAGCCATCTGAGGCCACAGCGCCGGTTGCTGACACCGTAGTGAGTCAATGTCATCCCTTGACCGAGCAGCTCGACGATTCCGAGGCGTGCTCCTACTACAACAGTACCTACTCATGCACGCACCTTCCCGGGCTGTCAACAGACTCTGACTGGATCACCAAACAGCACGTTCGACCGCTCTTCGAGTGTCTGTCTGCCAACCTCAGTCATCGTGCTTGCTCATCGGACTTCCTCTGCCCGGGCTTGAGTCCAGTCTCAATTTTTACCAACTACAGCTTGCAGCAGTGGAGAGATCGGATGCTTCTGTCGCTGACCTGCTTTGCTATCAGCACTGTCATGCCTGCCTGGAGGCCATCGAACATTGGTGGGGCATCAGCCTTATCGTCGACGATGACTAGAGAGGTTTGATTCGAATCATTCGGGTCTTTGTAGTCTAGATCGTATGTAAATGCGAAGATTGCTCCGTGTCTTCACAAGATCCCTATCCCTTCACCCTCAACAGAGCCTCTCGGAGGCTCGTTCCTCTCAGACCCAACAAGAATCGATCTCCGGCATTCACCTTCATCGTCCTTCATCGTCTTCTCCCCCTGCTCCACACCGCTCGCCCCCCTCCTGGCACATACTCATTTTGCAGTTTTTTTTCGTACCCCCACCCCCTCATTTCCAGGCTCCTACACCCCACTGTCTTCCCTCCTCCCTTGCAAACTCCGACCTCAAAGTCCCCTCCTTCGCTCCCTCTCCCCTGCCCCTCCCTCTCCTCCTCTCCCTCTCCATCCTCTACCCGTTCTGTTTTCCCATGACCACCACCACCCCATCTTCTTCTCTGCCTCCTTATCCGAGATGTCTTCTACCCGCGCGCTTTCACGGGATCCTTTCTTCTTTCTCTGCCCTGTTGCTGTCCCCTCTCTGCTACTCATCCTCCTCCTCCCTTCCACTCACCGGCCTCCCTACATTCTTTGTCTCTCTGCTTGCCTTGATGTTTCCTCCAACCCGATTGATGCGGCTAGTATCATTCTCGTTGTGTTCATTCCCGCATCTCGGCAACCCCGAGCTCGTTATTTGATCCTTATCTCCCCTTCCTCTCGCTTTTCATGCTCTTTCTTGCAATGCCTATCATTCATGTTCTATTTTGTTACTCAATCCCGTATCCAGGACGGCCATGAAAGTCTGATCGCCCAGCTCGCGTCGAACGTGCAGCATGATCGGAGGGAGCGGGGGAGAATGCAGGAGGTCGGAGGAGGTGGAGGTTTCGGTGATCATCCCTTGCTACAACGCGATCCGATGGCTGGAAGAGGTAACAAGGGAAGGGAAGAACATGATTGGAGGAGGGAGGGAGGGAGAGGAAGGAGAGGAAGGAGAGGACGGAGGGAGAGGACGGAGAGGAAGGAGAGGACGGAGGGAGGGGAGAGGAGAGGAGGGAGAGGAGGAGGCATGAGGGAAGGGAGGAGGCATGAGGGGGCTCATTTTGGAGGCAGTGTCTGTCTTCATGTCTGCTTCAAGACTTCCAAGGGACGATGGAGGTTTCCATCTTCGACGACTCTTCTTCTGACGGCTCCGACCTCTTCATCCGGTACCCTCCTGCTCTCGCTGCCTCCCTCACCAGCGGCAGGTCGTGGGAGGAAAAGTTCCGGGCCCGAGGCATCGGGTTTGTGGCTAACGGGAACCGTTGGGAAGAGAACGAGGATAGAGACGAGGAGGCGCCTCCTGGTACCTGCATGCTGTTGAAGCTGCGCACTGATGCGTGAAGGAAGGAGGAGTAGGACGCGCGAAGAACAAGGTGGAGGAGGAGGAGCGAAAGCGGTAGGGAAGTCACTCAAGCACAGGCAGTGGCGCAGAGCTCAGGGAAGTTCTTGTGCTTCCTGGACGCGGATGACATCATGCTGCCCCACCGCGTGAGTCGAAGAGAAGAGAAAGAGAAAGAGAAGAGAAAGAGAGAAGAGAAAAAGAGAAGAGAAAAAGAGAAGAGAAAGAGAAAGAGAAAGAGAAGAGAAGAGAAGAGAAAAAGAGAAGAGAAAGAGAAAGAGAAAGAGAAGAGAAAGAGAAGAGAAAAAGAGAAGAGAAAAAAGAGAAGAGAAAGAGAAAGAGAAGAGAAGAGAAAGAGAAGAGAAATAGAGAAGAGAAGAGAAAGAGAAGAGAAGAGAAAGAGAAAGAGAAAAAGAGAAGAGAAAAAGAGAAGAGAAAAAGAGAAGAGAAAGAGAAATGAGAAGAGAAAGAGAAGAGAAAAAGAGAAGAGAAGA